CAAATCTCTGCACAAGCAGATTATGTTTCATTAAGTTTTGACCAAAAAATCATACATGCATTTTCAGATCACTATTAAACATAAACAGTTTTTTCCTAAAAAATAATGCATAGTTACTTTCTTAGAAGGACAAGTAATCCTATTTATTTCATGAGTCACAATCAAATAGGATTCGGAATCCTATTTTTCATATTATTAATCCACAATTAAACGGGAAATTTTCACCAATCTAGGCGTGAAAAAGGTGGTGGCCCCAGTCGTGGCCGTGGTCGTGGTCGAGGAGAAAATTTCAATCATGGTGATCGTCTTGCACTAAATAATAATCTTCAACACCAGCAGTGTAAAAAGAAGAATGAAAAACATTACATAGTGCAGAAGAAAAATTCAAACAATAAATTTTATCGATGTGGAGGAAAAGGACATTGGTCTCGTACCTGTCGTACGCCAAGGCACCTGGTTGAGCTATATCAAGCTTCCCTGAAGGAGGTGAAAAATAACGCAGAAACCAACTTAATCACGGAAGATACTGTTGAACCCATGCATCTAGATGTTGCGGATTTCTTTAAGAATCCCAAAGGAAAGATAGATCATCTGATAGGTGATGTGTCTGTGATAATGTAAATATATTTCATTTTCGTCGTTTATATGAACTAGTATGAATATGTTTTCCTAGATTTGTAAATAACTAAAAGGTTTTGTATTGTTTTTGTTTAGTAATAATATTATAATGTTTATTCTTTTATATCTTTCATCTTGAAGAGTATATGGATACCTCAATAATCACTCATGAAGATATTTGTATAATTGATAGTGGAACAACGCACGCCATATTCAAAGACGAGAAATACTTCTTTTACTTGCTTAGAAGAAAAGCAAATGTTACTACAATATCTGGTAATTCAAACTTAATAGAAGGCTCCGGAAGAGCTACTATATTTCTTCTCAAGGGGACAAAACTTGTCATAGAAGATGCGTCTAAATCCCCAAGAAACCTGTTAAGTTATAAAGATATTCGCCAAAATGGATATCACGTTGAGACAATAAATGAAATGAATGTTGAATACCTTGGTATTATCAAGATTGTCTCAGACCAGAAATATGTATTGGATAAATTATCAACTTTATCTTCTGGCCTGTATTATGCAAAAATAAGTACGATTAAAACACACTCTATCGTAAACCAAAAGTTTACTGACTTAAAGACTTTTGTGCTTTGGCATGACCGAATAGGTCATCCTGGATCAAAAATGATGAGATGAATCATTGAAAACTCAAATGGACATCCATTAAAGAACCTGAAGATTCTTACAAATGATGAGCTTTCATGTGCTGCTTGCTGCCAAGGCAAATTGATTACTAGGCCATCATCAACGAAGGTTAACATTGAATCCCCTCAATTTTTGGAACGAATACAAGAAGATATCTGTGGACCTATTCACTCATCTAGTGGGTCGTTTAGATATTTTATGGTCCTAATAGATGCATCTTCAAGATGGTCTCATGTGTGCCTCTTATCATCTCGCAACCTGGCGTTTGCAAAATTATTGGTACAAATGATACGATTAAGAGCGCAATTTTCAGATTATTCCATTAAGACAATTCGTCTTGATAATGCTTGTGAATTCACATCCCAAGCTTATGATGCTTATTGCATATCGGTAGGGATAAAAGTTGAACACCCTGTAGCTCATGTTCATACTCAAAATGGCCTTGCTGAGTCATTTATTAAGCGCTTACAATTGATAGCAAGACCTCTACTTATGAAAAGTGAGTTGCTTACTACTATTTGGGGTCATGCTATCTTACATACAGCATCACTTGTTCATCTCAAAATGAATGATTATAGTAAATACTCCCCATCACAATTGGTATTTGACCATGAACCAAATATTGCTCATCTTCGAATTTTTGGATGTGTTGTATATGTGCCTGTAGCACCACCTCAGTGCACCAAGATGGGCCGTCGAAGAAGGTTAGGCATATATGTTGGATTTTATTCACCCTCAATAATTCGCTACCTTGAGCCGTTGACTGGAGATTTATTCACTGCAAGATTTGCAGATTGTTGATTTGATGAAATAAATTTTCCGCAATTAGGGGGAGAGAAAAATAAACTTAAAAGTGAAATTGCATGGATCATTATCTCATTTTGATCCTTGCTCCCCTATGTGTGAACAAGTGGTCCAGAAGATCATCCATTTGCAAAACATAGCAAATCAAATGCCAGACGCATTTACAGATTCAAAAAGGATAACAAAGTCACATATTCCTGCAGTAAATGTGCCTATCTGAATCAACATCCTAAAAGGACCATCTACAAGTGTCATAGCTTTTGAATCACAAATACGCGTGAAGCGTGGTATACCATTCGGTTCAAAAGATGAAAATCCTAGAAAAAGAAGTACAAAAAATGACACTACAAAAGAATTTTACGAAGAAATTCAAGATGTGATTAACCCTGATATTCCTGAAGAGATCAGTGAACTCGAGACTCAAGTAAATGGAGGACTCTCAATAAGTTCTACAGGTGATGGGATAAGTTTAAATCGATCAAAAATCATAGTAGATAATGTTTTCGCATATGATGTTGCACTTAACATTATGAAAGGATATTAGGATCTTGAACCTCTATCTGTCGACTATCGACAAAGACGTGATTGGCCAAAATGGCAAGAAGCAATTCAATCAGAATTAAATTCACTTGCTAAGCGTGAGGTTTTTGGAATAGTAGTCCAAACGCCTAGTGATGTTAAACCATTTGGCTATAAATGGGTTTTTGTATGAAAAAGAAATGAGAGAAATGAGATTGTAAGATACACGGCACGCCTTGTTGCACAAGGATTCTCTCAACGACTTGGTGTCGACTATGAAGAATTATATTCACCTGTTATGGATACAATAACTTTTTGATATCTCATCGGTTTAGCTGTACATGAAAATCTTGAAATTCATCTAATGGATGTGGTTACAGCTTACCTTTACGGTTCACTTGATAATGAAATTTATATGAAAGTTCCGAAAGGAATTAAAATGCTTGAAGCATGTAGTTCAAAATCTCGATAAATGCATTCAATCAGATTACAAAAGTCATTATATGGCTTACAACAGTCAGGCTCATGTGGTATAATTGCCTCTGTGAGTACTTGATAAAACAAGGTTATATAAACGATGTCATTTGTCCTTATATATTTATTAAGAAAACAACATTGGGGTTTGTTATTCTTGTTGTTTATGTTGATGACATTAATATCATTGGAACTCCAGAAGAGGTTAAAAGGCAATTGAATATCTAAAGAAAGAATTTGAGATGAAAGACCTTGAAAAGACAAAAATTTGTCTTGGACTACAAATAGAATATTTAGTAGACGGGGTCTTCATCTATCAATCTGCCTATATTGAGAAAATCTTGAAACGATTTTACATGGACAAAGCACATCCATTAAGTACTCCAAAGGCTGTCCGATCACTTGAAGTGAGTAAGGATCCATTCCAACCTCAAGAAGAGAATGAGGAACCTCTTGGTCCAGAAGTACCTTATCTTAGTGCAATTGGGGCACTTATGTATCTTGATTATACTATGAGACCTGACATAGCATTTTCTGTTAATTTGTTAGCAAGATATAGTTCTTTCCCTACACGAAGACATTGGAATGGAGTTAAACATATATTGCGATATCTAAGGGGAACTAGTGATATCGGTCTGTTTTATACTAACAAAGATAGTGCAGATCTTGTTGGTCATACATATGCAGGTTATTTATCTGACCCATATAAAGTCGATCACAAACAGGCTATCTATTCACATACAGAGGTACTGCTATATCATGACGATCTACGAAGCAGTCTATTGTTGCTACTTCTTCAAATCATGTTGAGATAATAGCCATTCATGAAGCAAGTAGAGAATGTGTATGGTTAAGATCAGTAATACATTTTATCAAAGAAAGATGTGGTTTGAATTGTGACGTCAAGATACCCACAATACTCTTTGATGACAATGTTGCATGCATAGCTCAATTAAAAGGAAGCTTTATAAAAGGAGATAGAACGAAACACATTTCACCAAAATTATTCTTCACACGTGATCTCCAGAAGAATGGTGATATTGATGTGCGACAAACTTTATTTTCCAAATCTTTATCGACCTCAACTCTCGAGAAGATGGTTCACAAAATTGGAATGCGGAAACTTAACCATCTCTAGGTTTTGTCCCACTGGGTTTTCCTCGAAAAAATTTTGATGAGGCAACAAATAATGCGTATCAAAAGATATGTGTACTCTTTTTCCTTCACTAGAATTTTTTCCCACAGGGTTTTTTCTAGTAAGCTTTTAACGAGGCACAATATCTATGGACATCCAAGGGGGAGTGTTATAAATCCATTGAATAAGTGGATAGTCCATAAAGTTAATACATGAACAACCATTCATATTCACTAGGTTTTATGAACCTTTTTGGATAAGAATATATCTATTTATTATGATACTTAATATGGTGACTTTTGGAGTGATTTCTCACTCTATAAATAGGGTTGTTCATTCACTATTGTATTATATACATATGAAACTTACATTTACTTGAATAAGAAGAAAATCTTCTCCTACATCTACTTCTCTTGTCCTCTTCTTATAATCTTGATATTTATTATGATACTTAATATGGTGACTTTTGGAGTGATTTCTCACTCTATAAATAGGGTTGTTCATTCACTATTGTATTATATACATATGAAACTTACATTTACTTGAATAAGAAGAAAATCTTCTCCTACATCTACTTCTCTTGTCCTCTTCTTATAATCTTGATTTTATAACAAATAATAATAATAATTTAAAAAGGAAAATAAAGTTAGGGATCCGATCATAGTCAAGAGTCCTATTTCGTGAGGTTTAAAGAAGTTTTGAAAAATATTTTTTTAACTTAATGTATGAAAGTTAATTTTCTTAAATTAGAGAAACTATGAACGCAAAAATATTTTTCAAAATATTTAAGTCAACAAAAATGAGACAATTGGAAATGAAGTTTCTCTTATACCAAATAAATCTTTCACAAGTGTTCTGTAGAGGTTTCAACAGGCTTACATATTTCAAGGGAAGTGCAATTGATATACCCATAAATTACTCATATTTAATGATGAATAATGAGTTTGTTTCTGCAATATTGGCAGAAAAATAATATGATTGTAAATTGTTGCTTATTTAGACACCATGTTGTGACATGTTTTATCACATGGATAAGCACAGTCAATCGCCTTCATTCCTTCTCTATCAAAATACCAATCTCCAACTGCAAGTGCAATCGTCTGCATATCGTTCAAATGTTTATTTGTCAATCATGATGTCAAAATGTGAATTACCTTCTGCAGTATTCAACACAAATTTATAATCATAAATGTACCTTGTTATCGATAAGGGGAGAATCGTCAGCAAACCATGTATCCTGCCTCTCGGATTGGCAATGAGCGAAGCAAGAGTTTATGAACAACCCACTTTGTGTTGAGGCACCGAAGCCTTTAATAGCATTTAGCATATCATTTCTGAAATCTGTCCCCAAATTGTATTTCATCAACATGTGAGTCCATGGTCTAGGAATTACCACCAGAAATAATGGTTTTCCCACCGTGAATCTTTGAATTGTAAAAACATCATCTTCCCACTTATTGAACCGCATGGTGGGAAATAGATTCTATCTGAAATACTAAGAAGCTTCCTAATTTTTCCATGTGAAAACAGACGAGTTCTATTTTTTTTGTTCGTCTCTCAAGGATTCGATTAAAATACCTATGGGAATAGCCAAGTAACAGGTTTGATTGATGCATACCTTGTAGAAATTGAATTTGTGATGCAGAACATTTTTTGTAATCACGTTTACAATCATGCCACAACCCATGAGGATCGGCTACTGGAGGAGCCAAACTGGATTGAATCTATAGGAAGTTGCAACAGAAAAAAAAATGTCAACATTCCGCAAAGATTGCAATGTATGCAAACACTGAATAGTTGATCTCTTTCCATCTCCGAATAGGAGAAAACAAAAATTCGAAAAGTTTAAGAATGTACCTGCCAGAAATCATAGGCAGCATTTAGAAGAAATAATGGAGTCTTGATATTGCCGATCAAATTCTGAGGAAAGAAGCACTGAAAGGCGCACATATAGGAACCGTATTAGTAACATGACACGATACCATATATTGAAAAGGAAAATATATCAAAAGAACTTACAGAGGTTGGATCAAGTTTGTTGGTACAATTACTTGGTAACATCTTCTGAAGACCCTGTAAAATATTACATGAATTGATACTAAGCAAAGCCCGAAGATAGTTATATACAAATGTCAGTTGCTTAATGAAATTGACCAATATAGAGTTTGAGTTGTCCTAACCTGTACGCTTACTACGCCTTTAAAAACATCTCTAAGTGCGTGCCCACCAGATACATCAGTTCTGTGCATCCAGAAAGGACTTGTTACTAAACCTTTATTCTAGAATTTAAGAAAACAAAAGCATATTATGAGTTTCAAGATCAGGAAAGTACGCATCCATAAATAATCCGGCATCACTTAGGCACTTCACTTTGGTACTACTTGGGAACAGAGTGCGGAACTCATCGCAATGCAATATTGAAGCTAGACCACCAGCAGAACATCCAGAGAGTAGAGCCTGAAGCACTATTAACAATAACAGATTATGAATGAAAAGAGCAAGCAAACTAACAAGGCAAAAAGTGACTTTGACCTGCTGGGCATTTTGCATTCCTTTCGACATTAACTCCGCCATTGCTGCTTCCCATATACGTTGACCTCTAAATTGCAGTTGTGCATCCTGGAGAGATATGCAATATACTTTTTTTTCTTAAGAAAAAACAAGGTTGACTAAACAAGCTAGCAATTGTTATTATAAAACATATGTTACATTTCATAGAGTAAGATAATACAAAAACATCAAATACTTCTTATACTTCCCAACAACAACATTCTCAGTGAGATGCCACAAAGTGGGGTCTGGGAAGGTTGGAATGTACACAGATCTTACCCATACCTCGTAGAGATAAGGAAGTTGTTTCCGAAAGGCTTCTTATACTTCCCTAAAACTAAAAATTGGTGACAGGTGTATGCGTGGACATCAGATGGTTTAACATATAGTGATAGATAAATTGTTGGTATCATGGTTATAGGTACAATTTCTGAAATTTCAGGTACAAGGGTATTCCAGAGTTCCCTGTTCCAGCTCCTGACTATCCTTAATTAGTCCCTGAGAAAATCCAACCGAGCATAGAAACAGTCGGAGGATAAGAGGGACCATACAAATAGGTGTTATTGAGTTTGAACATATAGCATTTGCTGATATTTCTCCTTCGAGAGGCAATGTGCTCAGACGCAGTGTTCCCACGAGAACATGGTTCTGAAATTACACCTTTATTCAGAACTTTTCAGTGAGAAGATGTACTCAAAAGCAGATGCAAAATTTAAGTAGCACCTTCAAAAGGTTTTTTTGATAAGGTAATGTAAATTTCATCAAAAACAAAGTACGAAGGAGGTACTAAAAGAACATAAACTACAACATGCTGCAACTATTACAATCTCAAAACTTCTATAAAGTCTATGTATTGAATACTGATCTAAGTCTTCTTCCATACCTCCTTTGAAGACATTTATTTTTAGCACTAGCTAAATGATTCATCTGATAAGCAAAAACACGAGCACTTTGAAAAGTCAAAAACTTCTAAGCACATCCTCGGCATCACCGGAAGCATGAAACTTGGGAAGAGCAATACATAAATGCCAAAAAGTTTAAAACACAGTTTGTTTCAATTCTCACCATAATGTAATTGAGCTAACAAGAAAAGGAAGGGAGCTAAAAGATCACTGTCCTTGTCCCAACCTCCAGCAAGAAGAATATGTATTCATAAAGGTCATTTACCTCACTTATCATTCAAACGCCAAAAGAACCAAGAAAAAAAAAAGACCAGATGCCAAAGAATGTAAAGAAAAGAAAATGGTTAAAATCTACAGCAATTTGGAGTCACCGTGCTGTAGTGTGATAAGTTTTAGCTCTAATTTTTTTCTTCCTTTGTTTACATACTAACAACATGTTTGCATAATCAATGAAAAAGTAAAAGATGAAAATGGTGCATGACCTTACAAACCTTATTTTCACTGTCCCCTGTAAAGGAGGCCCCATCGCAGTAACGAACTTTTACTCTATTCCAGTTAAAAAAATCTGCATTCACAGAAAAGACATTAAGGAAAAGCCCTTAAATGCATAATATATAACATATTTGGAGTGTGTTTGGCAATTGTTTGGAGTGTGTTCCGTTGGTCAATTTTTTTGGAGAACATCTTCTCTAGTAAAACAAGTTACTCAAAAATAAAGAAAATGACTTTCCTAGTGGAAGTAGGGAAAACCTAGGTCGTTCGGACTCTCCAAAAACATTTTTGTACAAATGTCGGATCCCCCAAAAATGTTTTACTTTTCGAGGATACAACTAGCAACTGTTCACATTTTTGAATAATCTAAGCAACATAAGGGATTACAAGTTCCACAAGGGGCATTCAACATTCAATTGCCCTCGCAAACAAAAAGTTGTGGCCTGGGTGATTATGTCCTACCCACCTACAACACTCATCATTTTCAGCCCACCCACCCCACACTCCGAGAATATTTATCTAGATTCTCTACAAATGCTTTTATGATAATATATTTTGTTTATAAACCAAACACAAGAAAATAAGTAATAAATACACTTGTTATCCTGAAAAATCATTTTCCTTCCCACCAAAGATACCCATAGTGTAAATTATTATCATTAGAGGACCTGGATTTTCTTCAGCCTTGTTACTCAGAATCCCAGTAAATTGAATCTGTTTCTCCATGAATTTTGATGAGCCACGCCTGGTCGTTTTGCGGAAAACACAATTTCTGACGGTGTTACACCATCCTCCACCCTGCCACACAAGGTGTATGACTTAGTTAAGGTTCTGAATCAGAAAATGCAATTATGGAGCTCGCAAATTGCGTATAATGCTAGATTTAGAACATACATAAGAGTAGGATTCCATAATCATGATCAGAGACTGTCATACGTACCAAACTGTTATGTTAAAGATCAACAAAAAAGAAAAAGAAAAAACTACGCCTCAACAACATTTGAGATGGGGTCGGCTATTTTAGTCCAAAATTATAAAAATAGTAAGTTTTAAACACGTATCTATCAATTAAGCCTGGATGAGAATTAAAAATATGTGAGACAACAACATCCGACAACATTACAACTCTGATGAAGGGTGACAGCTAAGGGCATTAAAAGAGCAAGTTGTAAGTGAGCAATAAATCAAGGGAGGTGTCTAGTATACCTCCAATTGAATGAGCCAACTGTTTGCCCCTGACCCAGAACCAGGATGTATGTGATAACCTGGTAGAGTTCCATCCAGACACACTGTAAAAACGAAATTAATCTTAATCATTTGAAAAAAAAAATGTGGTGCAAGATCTAAAACATGATGGAATATAAACTAGGGAAAAAATGAACACAAATCAAGAACAAAATATAAGAGGCAGAAATATGTGTGTGTTTTACCAGCTCCTTTAGCAGCAGCTCCCTGAATGAGGGTAAGAGCAATCAAAAGAGGAGTTGGAGTAATGGCACCATCACCAGAAGAGGTTTTCATGAAAATGGAATCTTCAAATTCATGTGAATCTACCCATTTGCTAAGTACCAAAAACACAACAAAAACTACACCCCAAAACCCCCTCAGAACCTCCGCCATTTTTTATTTTTAGTTTGACACAAACAATGAATAATAATAGTAGTCACATGTTTTTAGATTTATTTATACACGAAAAACAAGTAACAAAGCTAGATCTCCGACACAAATTTGTTAGAGGATGGGAATGTGTGTGGGGCCGCCAAAATTGGAAAGTTATTACACCTCCATATATTTTTACTTGGTTTATAGTATTACTATTGTTTTAAAATGTTGTTCTATTATATTTATTTTTATTAGTCCACTGTATTATAATTTGGTGTGCTTATTGTTATGTTTATATTTATGTGTTAATTATATTATTTTGGAATATTAATTAATATTTTTATTTTTACTTGTTTATTATATTATTTTAAAATCTTTATTAATATTTATTTTTATTTATTTATTATATTATTTTGAAATATTAATTAACTAGTAAATTTAACCAAAGTGCAATATATTAGTAAATTTTGAAAAATAATTTTTTATAATTTAATTTGAAACGGATGAAAGAATTTGTTTTGCTTACACCCATAACCTTTTTTTACCTATTAACAAACAATACTAAAAATAAAATGAATCTTCAAAATAATTTTATAAACACCATAAAAAATATCAGAAGATTTTGAAATAGATTTTCCCATAAAAAGACCGGACTATGATCCTATTTAGGGATATTTATATATTTATTTGAAGAAATGGTATATATTTAAATTTGATTAAGATTAATTTATTACAAGTGATAAGTTTAATTAAATAGTGTAATTATTCTTAACATGACAAGTATCAAATTAAATTCATTTTTGTTCTAATTAACTTTCAAGTAGGGGTGTTTACTATTTGGATTAAATCGAAAAATCAAATCAAATCAAATCGAATTCTAATTTGGATTTGTTTTTTTAATTCTTGCTGTATTTCAGATTTATAATTTACTTTGTTTGGTTTTTTGGTTTGATTTCGAAATTAGAAAAATGAAAACCAAAAAAACTAAGTTGTATTTTATATATGTGTGTGCACGTGAGTTAACCACTTTTGTCCCTTTTTTGTTATTTTCATTGTGATTTAATTTATTTTCTTATGTTTAGACATCTATCATTGATATACTTTTAAGTATTATTGCAAATATAACTTTGTTATGTTTCTAATTATTGACATAACCGATCAACCAAACCAAAAAAACTCAAACCAAACCAAAATTGAATTACTCTTCTTCAAAAATCAAAAATCAAAAATCCAAATTGAATAATATAAAATTAACTTGAAAAATTAAATACACGCCCTACTTTCGAGAACAAAACAAATTAAATTAGGATATAATGTAAATTTCAAGTCCTTCACGTATAATTTTAAAAAGTTAAATGTTAAGATAAAATTTATAGTTGAACACGATAATCTATACTTCTATACAATGAACATAAATAAAGTTGTTATAAAGTGACTTTTTTGGCCAAACTTATATATTTTAGAGAGATGAATGAATGATGCATCAAATACATTATTCTATTGAATCATAATAATTTATTATTATGCTCTTTTTATTGGAATAATTCTTTATTTTATTTGAGAACAAACATGTGATCATGAAAATTTCAAATCCTAGTTGAGGTTTTATTTCAAATTTGAATTGCGTTTCACATCCCCCTTATCATTTTTAAAGTTGTATTTAATTACATTGAAATATAGATATTATTTTAATTTTTTTTTGTAATAAGTATAAAAAACACATCTCAATTTTTTATCAAATAAAAAAACAATTGAAATCTATGTCCGAACACTTCCACAAAAATATGAAAAAGTCATTTTAAGAATGTCAAAATTGTGAATCGACTTTACATATTTAATATTACATCTGGAATAAAGAATTTTATAATAATGATATTTTACATCTTTTGTACTCGTTATATTCTTCCTTTTTACTTATTTGATATCAAATGAATTGCACGTTAAAACTCATTTTAAAAACTTTGTAACTTATGAAAAAATTGTTGGGTATGTAGCAAGAATTGATGTGAAATAGAGGGAAGGAGAGGAATTTGAAAGGTTTAGAACTTGAAAGGTTGGGAACTTGAAAAGTCCTCTAATGCTTTATTGAAAAAGGCAATAGTCCCTCATCGGTAATGGAAAGGAAAATAGGAGAGTTTAAATAAATAAACACTCCTATTAATTGTTAAAAGGGTTGGAAAGAGGGATCCCCCTCGCGCCGTTAAAATCATTTTACCCTGGGAGGTTATATTCCAAATCAAACCTCGGATACTAGAGGGGAATAATTTCCTTAAGGGGACACTGTGAATTTAGTGGACTTGATTTTCTTCCTAAATTTCTAATAAGAGGATTCCAGATTCTGGTACGTTTTTTACAGATTAAATTATTTTTCACAAATAAATTTCTGTTCATCTTATTTACTGGTTATAAAAATTCTCAGTTACTTCGTGTTTCTGAATAATTTATTAGAACCAGTAATTTCTGATTTTATAACACAGATTGGCAACAATCTTAAGGAAATTAGTAAATCTGTGTTTCTGGTGGAGACAAAAATCTTTGTGATTTTATACTCCTTTAAGTCTGCAATTATATTTTTATTGCTTACTTGTATTGTATCAATTTTGTTTATCAGAAATGGAAAACACTGGTGTTACAGTGGCTGTTGCTGCACCAACCCGACCTCTTGTATCACAAGCAGAGAAACCGAAAAAATTCACAGGTGTGAATTTTAAAGGATGGCAGCAACGAGTATTTTTCTGGCTTACCACTCTTGGTCTGCAGAAATTTACAAGTGAAGATACTCCAGTTCCTGCTGATGATATGCCAGACAGGGAAAAATTTATGATTGTTGAAGCATGGAAACAGTCAGACTTCCTATGTAAAGGTTACATTTTGAGTGCTTTAGAGGATGACTTATATAATGTCTATAGTGCAATAACAACTTCAAAAGAGTTGTGGAATGCACTTGAGAAGAAATATAAGACAGAAGATGCATGCTTGAAAAAGTTTGTGGTCGCAAAGTTTTTAGACTATAAAATGACAGATAGTAAAACTGTTGGATCACAAGTGCAGGAACTTCAACTTATTCTCCATGATCTGATTGCTGAAGATATGGTAGTAAATGAAGCTTTTCAAGTGGCTGCAATGATCGAGAAGTTGTCTCCTTCATGAAATGATTTCAAGAATTATCTAAAGCACAAGCGTAAAGAAATGAAGCTTGAAGATCTTGTGATTCGGCTCAAGATTGAGGAAGATAACAGAAATGCCGAAAAGAAGTCGCGTAAGAGTTCAACAATCATTGGAGTTAATATTGTTGAAGAAGCTCCTACCAAAGACAAAAAGAGAAAGAAGTCCAACGGGCAGAAGTCAGAACTGGCCAAGAAGAAATTCAAAGGCAACTGTTATAATTGTGGCAAGGCTGGTCATAGATCTTCTGATTGTCATGCTCCAAGAAAGGACAAAAACAAAGGCAAAGGCAAAAATCAAGCAAACATCGTGGAAAAAATGGAAGATGCAGATGACTTGTGTGCAATGATATCGGAGTGTAACTTAGTTGCAAATCCCAAGGAGTGGTTTCTCGACTCAGGTGCCACTAGACATATTTGCTCTGCAAAAGAAGCCTTTGCAACATACACTCCTGCGGAGTACGATGAAGATTTATTCATGGGAAACACAGCAACAACAAGGATTGCAGGAACTGGCAAAGTAATGTTGAAAATGACATCCGGCAAAGTGTTGACTTTAAACAATGTTCTGCATGTCCCTACTATTAGGAAGAATTTAGTTTCTGCTGCACTACTCGTTAAGAACGGGTTTAAGTGTGTCCTAGTTAGTGATAAAGCTGTAATAAGTAAGAATGAAATGTTCATAGGAAAGGGTTATCTCAATGAGGGTCTTTTCAAACTAAATGTAATGGTTATTGACAGTATCAATAAAAATTCTGCTTCTGTTTACTTATTGGAGTTAAGTGATTTATGGCATGCCCGTTTGGGACATGTTAATTACAAAGCCTTGCGAAAATTGGTTAATTTAGAAGTATTGCCTGATTTTAAATGCGATAAGTCGAAATGTGAAATTTGTGTGGAAAGTAAGTTTGTTAAACATCCTTACAAGTCTGTTGAAAGAAATTCTAAAACTTTAGACTTAATTCACACAGATATATGCGATATGAAGTCAACACCATCTCGTGGTGGAAAAAAGTACTTTATAACTTTTATTGATAACTGCACTCAATTTTGTTATGTATACTTGCTTAGTAGTAAGGATGAAGCAATTGATGCATTTAAGCAATACAAAAATGAAGTGGAAAACCAATTGAATCTAAAGATAAAAATGATTCGGAGTGATAGGGGTGGAGAATATGAATCTCCTTTTGCAGAAATATGTTTGGAATATGGTATTATTCATCAAACTACTGCACCTTATACACCACAGTCAAATGGTTTGGCAGAACGGAAGAACAGAACATTAAAGGAAATGATGAATGCCTTAATGATCAATTCTGGTTCACCGCGAAATCTTTGGGGGGAAGCCATTCTTACAGCTAATAAAATACTCAATAGAGTACCCCATCGAAAAACACAATCAATTCCATATGAGTTGTGGAAAGGAAGAAAACCCAACTTGAAATATTTTAAAGTGTGGGGGTGTTTAGCCAAGGTAGATGTTCCTTTACCGAAGAGGGTTAAAATTGGACCCAAAACAATAGATTGTGTCTTTATTGGATATGCTGCGAATAGTAAAGCCTGTCGATTTTTGGTTCACAAATCTGATAATCCTGAGATTCATGTTAATACGATAATTAAATCAGATAATGCAGAGTTTTTTGAAAACATTTATCCGTATAAAACTGAAAGTGAGTCAACAAGTGAAAGATCTAAACGACCACGAGAAGAATCAATGGAAAATATTCTAACTAGTGAAGAACCTAGGCGAAGTACTCGACAACGAAAATCTGTTTCTTTTGGACCAAATTTTGTAGCACTATTGCTTGAAAATGAACCTCATACATTTAAAGCAGCTATGTCTTCGTCAGAGTCAACTTATTGGAAAGAAGCAGTCAATAGTGAGATTGAATCAATTTTAAGCAATCACACTTGGGAATTGACTGATCTTCCTCCAGGAAATAAACCTT